CAACGTGGCCCTCGGAAGGGTATTGTGTCCTCTCGCGTGTCCTCTCCAATCTCGGCGGCGAGCCGGGGGGCCTTCTAAGAAGGCTCAGAAGTCCCCCGGCCTCTGAGAAATTCTCCGAGCCTTCCCCGGAGACATAAGCAAGTTCTCAGAAGGCGGAAGGGATTCTGAGAAGTCCCGCCGCCTTCTGAGAAGGTCTTCTCCTTCTCGTGTCCCCCCCTCGCTTGCCGCAGAGATGTATGATGCTCCGACTTACTTTTGCCTTGATCACCAGAAAGAGTTTAGAGCACCAGGGAAGTACCGACACTTGAGGGTTTTCACGTGTCGGGCCCTGGGAGGCGATTGTCGTGCGCAGTTTGCCAGCGTGTCTGGTGCTCGAAAGTACGTCGCCCCGCATAGTACCCTTGCATCCTTCCCCTTCGGCCCATCCTTGGCCACCATTGCTGGCCGCGCCCCGCTCGCAAAGTGTCGACATGGTCTTCCAAGGCCCTTGCATCCTCACCGTGCGTCCTTCTTAGACGGGTTGATCGTGTTCCCGCCGCCGACAATCAGCCCCGACCTTAGTGGGCCCTAAAAACGACGGGGCCGTGTTGTTACTGGTTCCGGTTTGCCGTTTCTCTTGCCTGTTCCGTCGCCGTTTTTGAGGCCGTTCCCGTCGCCGTTTTTTGTCTCGGTTCCGGTTGTGGTTCCAATCCTGGAGCCGTTTTGTAGTTGTTTCCGGTAGCCGTTTTTTTACCGCTTCCATGTTGCACTTCCAGGAGACATCTCATCGAAAACGGTGCAAAATCAGCCCTGCCGCTTCCGGGGCAGGCCCCGACTATCATGGCGCCAACCTCGCAGGGCGGATTTCGCTCAGAAATCGATAGGATGGGCTTGGAGTGTCCCAGAGAGTTTCGTTCCGGATTTTGAGGTGAACTTCGTGCGGATCTGTTGTTGGCCAGGAAGGACGACTCAAAACATCCACGCGCAATCCGCTTCGCTTCTCACTCGCCGTTTCGGGTCGGGGGTCTGCACCGACAGCGCTCCGCGCACAAGTCCGCTGCGGCACGTATGCAGGGTCGGTGCAGTGACGACTGCCTGCGGGGGGCCCTCTGACGTGCAGCCGCGCAGCGCCGACGTCGCCATGCCGCCCACCGCGGGCCCTGCCGCGGAGGGCGCGCGGGAGGCCGCCGGCGCGGGCGGCGGGGCCTCCGCCGCCGATCGCGGCGGCGCGCCCGCGGAGGCGGCCCCCGACGGGGCTGGCTGAGAGCGGCCGCGGAGAGGCCGCCCATCGAGCAGCGGCGAAGCGTCCTGGCGTGCCTGTAGGCCGACCAAGCCATGTTCTGAGAACCTTTTGTGGTTGCCACGAAGCGTTCGTAGAACATGTCTGGTTGGGTCTGCTTTGTTTTAACACGTCGGGCTCATATGTTGTAAGAACCGTGTCTATGTTATTTGATCATTTTGCGTGCGGGGCTCAAGAACATGTCGTGGTAGGCCTATAGTGAAGCCGGGACGGTCGGTCCCTGCTCAACCCACGGTCAACCAGTGGCGGAGCGTCCTGGCTCGCCAGGGGGGCCACCAGAGTGGAGGGTTTCTCCGGAGGGCCTAGGCGACCCGTCTTCCGCCTCTCTTCTCCTCCTCCTCCTCCTCCTCCTCCTCCTCCTCCTCCTCCTCCTCCTCCTCCTCCTCCTCCTCCTCCTCCTCCTCCTCCTCCTCCTCCTCCTCCTCCTCCCCCTCCCTCCCCCTCCTCCCTCCCTCCCTCCCTCCCTCCCTCCCTCCCTCCCTCCCCCTCCTCGCTCCTCCTTGCTCCCTCCTCCCTCTCCTCCTCCTCCTCCTCCTCCTCCTCCTCCTCCTCCTCCTCCTCCTCCTCCTCCTCCTCCTCCTTCTCCCCCGCCTCCTCCTTTTCCTCCTTCTGGCCCGAGGGTGAGGGCCTGGCACCAGTTCTCATGGTGTCAGCGCCACACAGTCTTTGGGGCACACCGTCAGAGTCGACTGTGTGCTGCGACTGGGGGCAGGTAAACCGGCTCGCGCGTTTTAAAGCCAGCCGCGTGGCATTTTGCCCGTGGCGGCGGCGTTAGCCACTCCGTGATTTGGAGATGGGTACCAGGCACGGGGGATTGCGCATTTGGTTGATGAGGCGCGGGGCCATGTGGCCCGTGAGTCCCATGGAGGCCGTGTGCCCGTTCACCCTGGGAAACAAACCCAGATGCGCATGCCAGCTGATTGGGCAGGGGTTGATAATCGGGAAGTACCTCGCAATGGCGAGGTGAAACGGTCGCCCCCCTGCGCACTACGCCCTCTCGGTTGGAGGCAAAATCGCTGGGCGACGAGGTAGCTGCCTATCCCCTGCTCGTCGGTGCGCACGCCTTCGGGCCCGCTTCCTCCCGTAAGGGCGAGGCCGGGGGTGCCGGTTGCCTGCCATTGCGGTTGGCACCGTCCACTACCTGGGTCCATGACTCCATGAGTCCTCGTCCTCCTCCTCTTTCCTCCTCCTCCACCTCCTCTTCCTCTTCCTCCTCCTCCTCCTCCTTCTGGTCCTCCTCCTCCTCCTCCTCCTCCTCCTCCTCCTCCTCCTCCTCCTCCTCCTCCTCCTCCTCCCCCTCTTCCTCTTCCTCCTCCTCCTCCTCCTCTCCTCCTCCTCCTCCTCCTCCTCCTCCTCCTCTCCTCCTCCTCCTCCTCCTCCTCCTCCTCCTCCTCCTCCTCCTCCTCCATCTCCTCTTCCCCCTCGCCCTCCTCTACCTCCTCCTCCTCCTCCCCCTCGGGTCGCCCACGGCCCGGAGGAAACCGTGCACGGTGAAGCAGAGGCGACGCGTCCTGGTTCGCCTATAGGCCCGCCAAAGCATGTTCCAAGAACCTCGCGTGGTCCCCAGACATGACCGCGTCCTACAAAAATCATGACGTTTTTCTTTGTTTTGCTATTTTCGGCCCGGAAGGGCCCTCCCCGGGCCTCGGGACCGTCAGAAAACGATTCAGGACGAAAAACGGGTCCCAGGGAAAAGTGTCGGGAGTTGCAGGGACGCCGTCGTGAAAAATCAGGACGTCGCAGTTTGAGGGCTCGCCTAGAGGCTTGCCAAAGACTGTTTTCAGAACCTTTTTGTGGTTTGCGCGATATGTTATTCGAGCGTGGTTCGGCTGAGGCTGTCTTGTTATGATACAGCGGGTTCATGTTGTAGGAACATGGTTTATGTTCTTCACGCACTTCTGGGTTCTTAGGACAACCCCTGGTAGGCCCATAGGAATGCCAGGACGGTCGGTCCCTGCTCATCACGGCGCCGAGTGCGCCTCGCCGCCGCCCTGTCGCCACAGCCGGGCGCGCCTCGGGGCCGAGGCACCCGGCGTTTCGAGGAAGCAGCGAGGCTCCCAACCGCTTCTGGCCTCTCGGGGCCCTCCCTATACGGGGCCCCAAAGGCCTGTACACCACCACCACCCTCACCCGTTTCCCTCTCCCAGAGAGACGAGGGGAGGAGGAGGACGAGGAAGAGGAGGAGGAGGAGGAGGAGCAGGAGGAGGAGGAGGAGGAGGAGGAGGGCGGAGGACAGGAGGTGGTGGTGGTGTATCTTGTTGCGGCCCGCATTCCCTGCTTCGGAGCGGTCGAGGATGGCGCAGAGAGGGCGAGTGCAAAGACTGGCAGCACTGCCCATTCATGTTGAACAGGACTCGCTGTCGGTGTCGACGCGGACGCTGTCCATTTGAGGCAGAAGGCCGCCTGCACAACAGCAGGATTTCTCTGGGCATCGTGCCCATTTCTTCCGTACTGGGCTTCGGGACCGTCAACAAAACGTTTCGGGATGAAAAGCAGGTCCCGCGGAAATGGTCGAGAGGTCGGGCATTCGTTTTCCGACAAAAGTCGGGACGCCAGATGTCCCGGGGACCCTGATCATCGATCACGAGCACGAGCCGCCTTGGCCAAGCCTTGTGGCCATTGCTTCTCGGACCAAGAAGCGGTCATCGAGGATAAAAGAACCCCTCCCTTCACAACACGATGAAGACGTGGCCTGACCGAGGCCCCCGTCTTTGCACCAGGGATGCAGATTTTGGGCGGTCTGGTTCGATACGCCTGCAGACAAGACCCCCTGTCCCCAATGCTCTGGCACCCCTAACTCAGGTCCCCTCCCAAAGGGTTCGGGGCCCATCTTTTTCTAATCAAACTAAACAACCCTAGCACCCTAGACAACTGCTCTGAGCTGCGGGCGTATTTCTTGGATCGGCGCCCGACGGCGTCTCGCGCGCCGCCTGCGTCGCGCTCCGCGCTCCAGGGGGGTCAAACCCAGCGCCGATCCAGGGACACGCGGTCGCACGGATAGGTCATTGACGCGAAAGAGTGACCCTTCGCCGAAGTGACTTGTTATCCCCAGGCGATAACGGGCGTTAGCGTGGGGGGGGGGAGGGGTGGGCGGGGCTGGTAACGTCACGTTTCGCGCCGGCGCCGTCTGGGAATGTCTAGGAATACCCAAAGACATATTGGAGGGCAGCACGGATCGTGACGTTCAAGCAGTGGCGAAGCGTCCTGGCTCGCCTATAGCCCCACCAAAGAATGTTCTAAGAACCTATTGTTGTCTGCACGAAATGTTCTTAGAACATTTCTGGCCGGGACTGTCTTGTTTTAACACATCGGGCATTTGTTCTAAGAACATTGGTTTTGTTATTAGAACATGTTTGGGTTCTAAGAACATTTCGTGGTGGGACTACAGGAATGCCCGGGCGGTCGGTCCCTGCTCAAGACGTTGCCTGGGTGGGCGCCAGGAGCAGGGAACGGCCCCCACTGGCCCCCCCAGAATGCCGCGAAGTGCAGGTCGCTCTTGCCCAGGGTCACCCCTACGTGCAGGCGAATACGGTCTGCGCGGGGCGTCCGCGAAACAACGCCCCGTAGCCAGTGGATCGCGGCCAATAGGCCCGGCCCGCATGGCCGCGGATACGGATATCTGTTCCGCTCGTATACACGCCCGTCGTTGAAAGTAGGTATTTTTGGATTCCCAGATCCCAATCTACTTCAAGCGCCGTCCTACTTCAAGAATCGACATGCTTTTGCTGTGTTTTGTCATTATCTGGGAAGACCTGGACCCAATCCACTGCATTCGCCTTCCTTCCTCATGTTTCTACCTACTTCTTCCGACCGACGTGTACCTTTTTCCTCATCCCAACTCGGCTTAAAACGAACATGTCCCTCTACAGAAGGAAAATTCAGAAACAATCCGAAAATGGTCTGGGGACGATGTTTCGACCTCATGTTGACTATTCTGAGGCACGTCTTGGTTTATAAAAAGATGTCGCCCCCAAGTCCGGCTGTGGGGGGACACCCCCGACCGAAAATTGGGCCACAGTATCTCAGCCCCGCCATCCCGCCACCACGGTAGGGGATAGGCTCCTCGAAGCCTGCGGGGAGTAGACACCATCTTGGCATCTTGGCATCGCTCGGACGTGTGCATTTTTCCTTCGGCGAGGGCCATCGAGGAGCATCCTTGATCATTTGGCGAAAACACACACACACACGAAACCGAACAAAAACATAGGGAATGGACGTCCGAGCGATGGCGAGGGATATGCTCCTCGAAGCCGGAGGGGAGCCGACAGCATCCCTATCTATAGGGGGGTAGCTGGGGCAGTGGGGCTGAGGCCACGCCAGTGGGGATTGGGATCGGTCAGACGATGCTCAATCGAGGAGCAGGAAGCGGCATGCATTGCCACTTTAGCCTTGGTCGCCAGACAGAATTTCGAGCACCAAGACAGTACCGAAACTGGAGGATTTTCGCGTGTCGGGCCCTGGGAGGCGATGCTCGTTCGACATTGTTTCGATCCTGTTCTGGGTGCTCGAGATTGTTTCTGGGACGTGGTCGTGACGTACGATGGGAACAACATTGAGGCACACACCCGGTTTAGTTCCGCTCGGATTTCTCGTGCCCCCCCCCCCCCCCCTGGCCGCGCCTCCAGCGCAGCCCTTGGCCCGCTCCGCGCGCCAGGAAGGGGGGGGGTCAGCGCCGACCCAAGAAGCCCGCGCGGAGCTCAGAGAAATTCTTGGCATCGCTCGGACGTGTGCAGTCTTCCTTCGGCGAGGGCCATCGAGGAGCACCCTTGATCATCTGGCGAACAAAAACACGCACGAAACCTAAAAAAGCACAGGGAACGGACGTCCGAGCGATGGCCAGAGTTGCGCTTGTGCCGTGTGTTCTTCCTTCATTGTCGGGTCACGGTCCGGGAGAGGAATTCCCGGGGAGCGCCTTTCGCCTGTGAATGAGGGTTAGGCTCTTTGGGAATCAGGAAAAAGTAAGC